ATTTTATTTTTATTTTTATTTATTTATTTTTTTTTGTATTTGAATTTTTTAGATTTTAATTTAATTTAATTTAATGAAAATAAAAATAATAATAATGATAAAATTGGGTAAAAATATTATTTGGATTTAATTGAAATTGATTTGGAGAAAAAGGGGTGAAAATTTGGATTCTGATGGTGTTTTTGAAAAGAAAATCAGAAATCGGGGGTCAAAACGTAATTTAAAAAAGTTGTGCCACGTCAGCAGCCCCAGCCAACCAGGACACGCCGCGTGGCAAGGAAATGCTGACATAGGACGGGCCACGTGGGCGAACCGTGTGTGCGCGATCGGATGGCCCAGGTCTGTTCCCGCGCGCACGGACGACCCAGATTCACACGTACGGACGGTCCAGATTCAATCAGGCACGGACGGCCCAGATTGCATCGTGATGGACGGCCTAGATTTAATCCCAATTAAATCGCGATCGGACGGTCCAGATTTAATCTTGATGGACGGTTGAGATCAAAAGGCAAATGGTATAAATAACCCCACCCACACCTGACCACAAAACCCTAGCCGCCAGTGCCTCGCCGGAGAAGAAGAACCAGACGCCGGAGGAGTCGGCCGCCGCCACCCGCCACCGCACCGGACAAATTTTCGACCGCCAATCGAGGTAAATTTTCTCCCCCTGCTCGTTTCTCGATGCTGAATCCGTCTATGGCCAAACCAGAGCCGAACCACCGGCCAAACGGCCGAAAAACCCCGTCGAAGTCCGGCAACGCCGTCGCGACTCCCCTCTGTTTTTGCCTCCGATGAGGCCATTCCCGGCCTCCGTTCGATGCAAATTTTATACCACTGTGATCATCGTTCTTTTCTCTACAGGTTGATCTGAGCCAAACATCAAAACGCAACTCACACTGGAGGAGCTGCCGCACCCGAGAGCACCGCTGCCGGTAAGTCTCAGTTTTTCGTGATTTTTTTTGGCCCACCGAAGGCCCTAGAGTTGTTTTATCGCAAGGACCGATGCAAGTTTGGCCGAATTCGGCCAAAAACGGCCAACCCGTGGTGGATCGCCGCCGCAGGCGGCTGCGCCGTCGCCGGAGCACGGCGGAGCCGCCGTGCCAGAATTCTGATATTGGCCGAAAGGGGCCCTAGGTCTGATTTAGAATTTTTTGGGACACGTGCAGGTGCCGGTAGTACGTTTCAGTTTTCCGAAAAAAATTCAAGGAAATTAGGGACAGCCCGTAGGCGCACTATAGAGTCGATTTCAGATCCCGAAACAAGTAAGGACCCCTCACCTTATTTCCTATCATGGTATTAAAGCTAAATAAATAATTAAACTGTACTGTGTGACTTTATAGATATATAATTGATTAAGATTGCCAATGGAGCCTGAGTCTGATACAGTGTTGGTCAGTCGTTGTTTGATCTAATTTTCAGTATTAAATGCAGTATGATATTTGATGTAATTATATTATGGTCTCGTATGCATGAATCATGGTTTCTTTTATTATGGTTTGTATTACGGTGAACCCGATACTGTGTTGTCTTATTTGGTATCAATTACTGGTTTACATGTTGTGTATGATTGGATGATTGAGATCAAGGAAAAAGGAAAAATGGATAATGTAGACAGCCTGACTAGATATCCTAGGAGATGGTGGACGGACCGAGTCCGTAGGGAATCCTACCGGGAACGTGGTCTCTCATACCGGACGGGGTATGGAGACCTTTATGGTTTTGGCGCCCATACTGGACGGGGTATAGGAACGGTCCTAGAATCAGGTTATTAATGTTAATGGTTCACGGGTAGCGGGGACCCCCTATAGATCCCCATGGATACTAGTAGGCTGGTAAAAGAGGAAAATATGTTATTTAATGATCGAAATGCAAAGGCATGGTAAATGTTATGTTATAAAGTCTATATGATTTCATGATGATGATAATGTTATTGCTTTCATATGTTGTTTTCATGGATCTCACCGAGGTAAGTGGACAGTAAAGGTTTTTATGTTAATAAACAAGTTTGTTATAAATTATGCTCCATTGGTCATTTTTGTTTTCTACCCACCTTTACTTCCGTGGCGGTGAGATAGTGTGATGTCCTTACTGGGCTGGTGTAGCTCATTCCTTGTTTAACCATTTCAGATCAGGAAGACATTGTTCCCGAGCCCGTTCCGCAGGAAGACGGCGAAGGGGACGCCTAAAGACTTCATAGTTATATTTATAGTTCTTATTTCGAGTATCTCTCTTAGTTAGTTTGTTCCTTCAAGTTTTGAGTACGTTTTGGTTATTGTGTAAGGGATGTTAATCAAAATTTTTATTACGCTTCCGCATTTGAGAATTTAATACATACATTTCATTTAAATTTTTAGGGTCGTTACACAGATGCATTATCTCTTTAGACACGATCGAATGGACGAGATTGATCGCGATGGACGACCCAAATTCGTCCATGCAATCTGCCCAAAACTAAAAATCATCGAATGGTCCTCCTTGCTTCATGTCTACTCGAACTGGCAGCTTGGATCAAATGGAGATGAGTATTTAAACTCCTCATCGCAGGGAGCCAAAACCTAACCCGAGAGAGGGGTGATCAAAGAAGACGAAAAAGGGTGGTCGGGGAAAGAATTAGACGCCAGAAAAGGAGGTCGGCCACCGTCACTGTCGCACTGGAGCCACCCTAGACGCTAAAACAAGTATTTTTTTCTCTCTTCCCGCTCGGAATTCAATCTCGAGTCTCTCTATGTCTATATCGGAGCCAAACAGTCGATGGGTGAGCCGAAAATTGTGGGCAAAGCTCAGCTGAGCTAACGAAACCAAAACTCTAAAACCATCTTCGATGACCCCCTTTCTAATTCCCGTTTCACATAATTTTTTGACCATTGTGTTCTTCATCCTTTTCTGGTGTAGGTTAGCCGAAGGGAAGCTTCAACCGCGAAGGAGGACCGGTAGAGCCGTCGCACCTGGAGACCTTTTGTAGGTAGAGTTTCGATTTTTTGTGTTTTTCTGGCGAACTGAGGCATCATAATTTAGTTTTTCACAGGTTTACGTGTAAAATCGGTCAAAATTGATCAAAATCAATTGACACCAGTTTGGCCGAGGTGAACCATCACTGTGGATGGCAGATCCCCCGCTGGAGCATGGCAGTGTCGTCATGCCGGAACCCTAAAATTGGCCGAAAAAGTTTTTCAATGCATATTTTGGCCTTTTGAGGTATTTTTATATACGTGACAGATGTCTTAATTTTTACAAAAAAATTTTAAGAAACCTAGGGACCACCAGGAGGCGCAATAGAAAGTACAGTATTTCGAACGGCGATCCGGGGTAAGAATCCTTCACCATTTTTTATGTTATGATAAATTAAAGTTTAGTAATCAATATTATTGTGTTTTGTAAACATTAAAAAACTTTAAAAATAATTATAGTTTACTAGTGGAGTAGGAACCGATCAGTGCATATTTGACATAATTTACTGTTTATTTTTCTTCTGTACTGCTTAAAATGTTTACTATTATATTGTGTGCATTAAATTGTTAGTTTTAATTGTCTTATCAGTTATTTAGTTTACCTAACTGCATAGCTCTCATTTGTTGAATTATTTTGTAATAAATATCTCGATATGTTTTTTGATGTACGTATCGTTTATTTCCATGACTTATTGTTAATCTGTAAATATGAGATATTTGTATATAACTGGTAATTGGTTAATGGTGTGAATCTATGTATGAAATGATTACTAGGTACCCTGAGAAAGGATGGACGAACCTGGTACATATGGAATCCTACTATGGACATTACCTCAGTCGAATGGGGCTGAGAAGTCTTATACCGAAAGGGTTTGAGAGATATAGTTCATCATCATATCGAATGAGGTATCGATGCGATGGTGTTTGATTCCCATTACTGGACGGGGTATGACGACGATCAGTTAATTGATAAATTTGGATATTAGGTTCATGCGTAGGAAGACATCCCTATGGACCCCCAGATATACCAGTAAGTAAAAATGAAAGTTGTTGTTCTTATTCATTTGTATATAAAATCATAATGTTATTTGAGTTATTGTCTTTATAGATCGATTTTAGAAACTTATAACGGTAAGTGTGGAATAAACGATTTTATGTTAAATAAATTTACTAAAATTAAGGGCTCCATTAGTTATTTTATAATTTTTATCAACATTCAATTTTTCATATTAATTATTATATAATATTTTTACTGGATTAGTGTAGCTCATCTACATATTTAACAATTTCAGATAAAAAAAAACCAATATCTAGATCTTGAACAGCAGGAGGATTGCTAGTAAAAGTTACCATCTAGACCCCATCAAAGTTGTCAGCATAGATTAACCCCATAGGATTTTAGTTTCATTAATATTTATATTATTTTAACTATTTTTAGGGACATTTTTGTAACTTTATTGAGCATCCCAATTTATTACGTAAAGAATTTAAATTGTAACTATTATTTGATTTCATTATTTTAATACATATTCATTTCCTTAAAGTTTTGGACCTAAACAGTTTTTATATTTTTAAATAATTTTTTGAAGTAAAACTTTAAACTTTCAAGATTTTGAATTCTAAATTTTTAGCTTAAATACTATATTAATTAATTGATTGAATATCAAATTGCTTATTTTATTTTTCTTTAAATTTAAAATTTTAATAATTTAAATATAAGAATTAATAATAATTTATATATTTAATTACATACCTAAATCAAATGTTTTTATTTTTTTGGACTAAATTGTATATATATTCCATAAACATTATTAATTTGTTTTGAAAATAAATTTTAAATATATGAAATCATATATTAAAAAATAATTTAAAGTAAAAATAGTAAGGAGAATAGTCCAAGAATGGGCTCAAAGTTAAACCTCCAGTGGAAGTGAGTAGTCCAACTGGGTTGCTTTTATTAATAAACCCAGAAACTTACGTGTTGAGCCATGGGCTCCTTAAATCAGCCCACTATAAATATCTCCCTTTCTTCCGAAAATATTAAAATGCTGTACACAAACAAGACGATAATTCGGTATTATCGAGGGAGAAATTTGTTAAATCCAGATCGGTTTCAGTCTCTGGTTTTCTCTGTAATTGCCCAGCCATGTCTGCTCTCTCCACTTCTCTCGTTTCTCTGAACAATCCACGCTCTCATTTCTTATCCGGTAATTATACTCTTTTACATCTATACTTAGTTACCTTCTTCCTCTTCTGCTTCTTGTTAATTTTTGTTTAACGTTCCATTTTGTTTTGATGTATCTTCAGTAAATTCGATAACGATCTGCTTCCTTCTGTCTTTTGGTTTGAAAATTTCAGATTCCTGTCTACTTTAATTGTTGATTGCTTTTGTTTCCATTCTGAGTTCTTCTGATCTCGAAGAGGAATGAAGAGAAATGCATCAGAAATCACCTGTGTTATTCTCTTTCTTACTTCTGCAGAATGACGTTTATCCTACTTATTTACTTTGACTATTTAATTAGCAGTATTGTGATTCCTCCAATGGCAATTCATGCTTTCTGAAAAAAAAGAAAAAACGAATCGTGCTCCTCTTCAGGGCGGTTTTTAATTTGTTCTAAACATAGCCTAAGTGTTCATGGCCTGCTTGCCACTGTCGCCGGCAAGTTTAACCGACGATAATTTTTTTTGTAATGATCTCGGAGCTTTTTGCTTCCTGTAATGTGCTAGGTTCTTCATCGAAGCCGGTAGATCAATGCATGTTGAGCACTGGATCCTTTAAACTCTCTGGTAATGTCAGAACTGCCGTGAATAGAGGGACACTTACAGTCCGAGCTAGGTATTTATGTCATTGTCTCTCTAATATGTGCTATTTATTTGACTACGCAGATCATGCATTGAATACCGATTTAGCAGTAATATTTGTATGGTTGGCTGCTCAATTATCTTTTATCTAAGGCTATCTTTGGAACAAATCAAGAACTCTTTGTGGAATTTATTTGGATATCTACAGTTGGTTTAAGAAGAATGGTAATTTCATGAATTTGATGAAATTTCAAAATTTGATAATTTTATATATAATTTTCACATTTTCTAGTTAAACTAGCCCTGATTTTCTATTGAATTCCACATATATTTTTTCATTTGTTCCAGATATAGCCTGACACTTATTTTCTGTGTTTTTATACGATTTCTCTTTTTTCTGGTTATCTGTGGGTTAACTCTAACAGTGGAGTCAATGTTTTAGTTAGTATGACTCTCAGCTATGTTAAGGGTTTTGGTCAATGACCGGTATTGTCTGTTGGTCAAGCACAGTGGGAATGATGGAAGACAAAGTAGTGCAAGTATCTTCATAGGTGGCTTTATATTAGGAGGAGTGGTTGTTGGAACACTTGGTTGTGTCTATGCTCCTCAGGTACGGCTTGTGTCTATATGCCTAATTCTTGCTAATTTGCATTTGAGGCTTTGTGCTTGTTGATATATAAACTGGTTGCAACTAATTATTTAACATGATATTGCAAGTTGTGATGCTGGTTTCAAGTTCTATAACTTTGTTGTCAGTCTATATGTACTCTGCTACTCCTGCGGTGTACTGTGTATTACTCTTTGAAGAAGCAACATGGGCCTAATGAAATTGATGGTGAGACGTGTGTCGTGAATTGACATGTAATCTTGCTTTGCAGATAAGCAAAGCCCTAGCTGGAACTGACAGAAAAGATTTGATGAGGAAACTACCGAAGTTTATTTATGATGAGGAGAAGGCCTTGGAGGTTAGCAATTTATTTCTGTCTATCATAATGGTTAGTTCATGTGAATGAGACCATGATAAATTTATATCTGAAGTTCGTGTGCTGGTTTGGATTTGATCCTTTGAGATTGAAAAGAACTGCAATATTCCATTTAAGTGATAACGTACGAGTTACTCTTATCCATCGCGAGAGCGTGTTTAAATAACTTGGTGCACACAGATTGACATTTAGGATTTTCTTGTTCTTTTACTCACACAGTCCAAGTCGTTGATGTATCCTTCCTTGTCCCCCTCTTTTACAATTGCACTGAAAAATTGCCCATGGTTCTGTGGTGTTATGTGAACAGAAGACCCGCAAAATTCTAACAGAGAAGATTGCACAGCTGAATTCTGCAATAGATGGTGTTTCCGCTCAGTTGCGGGCAGATGATGCTCCAAATGGTGCTGCTGCTTCAGGTTCAGAAGGAGTTGAAGCTTCAATATGAAAAGATAGTTGTTGAAAATTCCGAGTATAAATGATCAAGTTTACCAGTACTTAGCACCAGAGAATAATGTTTGTTGTTTTGTATAAATATTTGTGCTTTTTTCTGTTAATTCAAGGAATTTTTGTCTGTTCTGAAACAACATTAGGAGCCAGAGGATCTCAATTTTGCTGGAATCCCGCCATATGATGAATGTATTGGTTGTCTATAGTGAAACATGGCATGAATAAAGTTTTTCTCTCTGACTGTATAGAATGAATAGCCAGGTTTTATTTTTATTATTTATTGCTTAAATTGGTCTTGGGTTACGATAGTTTGGGCCCAAAATTAGGGGGCACCACCAATTTGGTTGGGCCTCACGTGAGACTACGAATTGGAAACTACAATGCGTTAGTTTGAGTCCAATACAAGTGATTTTTAGAATATGTAGAGCTTTAGTTCGGCTTGGAGTGTAATCCGAATTTTATTTTAGTTTCCTACCTGGTTTCTTCGAAAACATTATAGGATTGGTAGAGAATACAACGTTGCAGGTTTAGCGAGCTCGATTTTTCACGAACTTGAATAAATTTAAACGATGCAAGATATTCAATTCAGTAAGATATTATATGCTATATAGTTCTACTGAGTTGTGGTGCTAAAACTAAAGAGAGAATATCTTGAATTCCCAAGAGTTATTTTAAGAGAGTGAAGTACGTTACTGGTGGACGTAAAGCTATTCACTAACTAATTCTTTTGTGCACATTATTGATAGATATAGAGCTATTTACATTATAGCCCGAGAGGGTTCAAGCTACCCATAAATAGCTATTCACTTGTAAATATATACGTTATGTGAAATTAATATATATATATATATATATATAAAAGAGCGAGACATATATTGTCATTTTGATAGCTAAGCCCGGACAATAGACACGAAAATCTCCGAGTGGACAGAGATCAAATTGAGATAATATAAAGCATGTTGGTTCCTCATGGATTCTGTGTATATATACATATAATATTTATATTGCATCATGGCATGCGTAACATGGCTTTTGTTTGTATGTTAAAGTGTGTGGAACTTTCGTTTTCTTTAAAATAAAACAATTTTCGTTGCATTGAACAACTTTTTATTTTTTTTAATTATTGAATATCTCAGACGTATAAATCTACTCTCAATAATTATAGTAAAATCTTATTTTTCTTAATAATTGTAGTTAAAGAGTTTGTAAACAAAAACAAAAAAGATGGAGTTGGATGGTTGTATATAATTATGACTTTTTATAAAAATTTAAAATGAATTAGTTATATTTAATTCTCTCTTAACTCGTTTATTTACTAAAAATGATTGGAGGGTAATTTTTTTTGGGTACTAATTTATAATTATCTTAATTAAAAAAAATTAATTTCACTAATATATTAATAAATTATATGTTAATAACAAACTATTCACTCATATTACACTTTCGGAATAACAAATTTTAAAATTTGAATTTGTATTAACTTTTAAATAAAACATTATTCTTTTAGTAAGTAAAATACCGTCCTGTAATATCTAAAACGTTCTAGAGTGTTGTATGTATTTATAGATAACAAAACTGATAGTAATTTCAGATTTGCAGCATTAATGGCTGGTTGCTTTGTCTATACATATATATTAAGAAAATAAATTAAAGTTGGCACCAGCCCTCTCATACGGCGGAGGAAGAGCAGAGCACTCAACCCTTAAAAACAAAACAGAAGCGATTCCTTGTCTTCTTCAATTTTCGATCCATCTCCCTCGCCGACTCTCTCTCCAGAATATTTGGGTCTCCTCTCAATTGTTGCAGGTAACTAAAGTCGTATATGTGTGTGTGTGTATATATATACTTATCTCCGTTATATATATATATGTTTTAAAAATTTAATCAAACCTGGTTTTTATTTATTATAGTGATAAATTCTTCATGAATAATCAAGTGTTGGTTTTGAAAGGTATCGTTTTCATGTATTGATTGGTTTTTTTTTTTTAAGCTTCACCTTTCGTTTGCTTGTCATGACGTCCTCTCCTTCTTATGCTGTTTTGACGGTAGTGATGAAAATGGGATATTTGTTGGACCCCACACTCTATGAATTTACGATAATAACCTTAAAATTAAATTAGTAACTGGACCCCCAACACCCTGTGAATTTACTACGATGATACCTCCTTCAAATCAGGAGGTGACTGGACCCCACGCCCTGTGAATTTACGGTAATAACCTTCAAATCCCGATGAAGCAGCAGTATCTTCTTTTAGTCACGTTGAATATAATTAGGAACTAAATTAAACTCAAACCAAAAATAAAATTACTATTCGTATTTAAATAAAATAAGAACGCATTAAATTAAAGTTCAAAATAAAAATTGCAGTCTATGACGTTACTCTGCAGTGCCCAAGTCCGACTGTAACACGTGTAGCGTGCGTACGTGGGTATAGATATATATATATATATACATACATATAGAATGTATATAACGGTGAATAACGGTGAAGGCGATGTCTGTCTCCATTGTTTTTTAATGACTGAAAAGACCGTTTGTTTTTTCTGACGCTTTTACAGCCAACCAAATACATCAACTTATCCAACGCCATTAATTTGGTCCCGCCTCCTCTCTTTTCTTTTTCTTAAACCTGTCACTAATTATACACCTCATGACTAATTAATTTATTGGGTGTTTTAGAAATATATTAGATTAATACGTTTTGTTAATACATAGAAATTTTAGATTTCGAAATCTTTACTTATTAAGCCTAAATTTGCCTTAAATTAAACAAAGTTTAGTGGGTTCAAGTTGGTGTTCTATATATTTATTTGTTGGTATAATAAAATGTATAGGCCGCCATAACTTACTTTCAATCTTTAAAATTAATGTTTTGCTTGTCTTTTATTGAAAAAACAAAAAAAAAAGTTTGACGAGAATGCGTCGCTTGTGATGATAATAACAGCAATATAATGATATAATTACACCAACCCTTTATTAATAGAATTCTTACGTAGCGTACAACTATTTTTAACCTAAATTAATAGAGTTAAAATGCGGGGAATGGGAAAATATTTCGAAACATACGATAGGTAGGTCGAATATTTTTAATAATAGTTGTGGGGGAGATGATGCGAAATGAAATCGTGTATTATATAGTTGTTTGAATATTAATGAATAATATATAGTTAAGAGGGCTAATGTTGGAATACAGTTCTTCCCCACATCCACATGATCTTTAATTTGTAACGCGTCCAAAACTCTTACGGCAATGTAATTAAATTTCAAGTACAATAATAGTAGTAGTCAGTGTGTGCGACAATTGATAAGTTGGACATACATACATACATATATACATACATATAAATATATTATTTCATTGCAAATTCGGGAATTGAATTCTTTGGTCGCTCTGAAAATTTTATATGTTTGACTTGGAAAAACCTTATATATGCATGCATGTAAGTTTAATTAGAAAACCCGTGTTTTATATAATTATGCTAATTTAATTAATAATTTATAATAATGGTTATTAATTAATAATTTGTAATAATGGTTATTACAACAATATTGAGACAGATAAAAAAAATATATAAGAATTTATGTAGAATTAGGACAATGTATTTTTTTTTAAAAAAAAATTGAATTAAATTGAACTAAAAAATTTAATATTATTAATTTTTATTTCATCTAGCTAGTTGAACTAAATACGTATTTGCAATCAAATTCTAAAAGAAATATAATTTGTTTTAAGAATATATATACGGCTTAACAAATAAATCTTTGATAATAAAAAATATCATAAATTTGTTATCGTTGTACTGATGTTATATATATATATATTATACAAAATAATTTTTTGTTAGTTATGAACTATATTCAATTTAATTTAATTTAATTTATTGTTTATAAATTATTCAAGTCCTGACAAGTTGGCAGACCTTCATAGTTGTTTCCTCCTTTTCTGTTCATGATTCATATGTATAATACTTTTATATATGTATAACCAGTCAGTTTCCGTCTATATATAGCTTTTCTCTTCTTGTCTTTTTGATATATTACTTCAAATTTGTTTTGTGTTGATCTTTGCTCCATGTATATGGGCATATAGATACGTCTCTGAATACAACTCTCAGGTCTTTGCTTATCTTCTTCTTCTTCTACATAAAGTGATTAAAGGTCTGGATCTACCTCCATGATCATACTGCTCAAGTAGAAAAACAAGCAAAAGCAAACACCAATATATATTGCGTTTCGGAAGTAGAAGTTAAAAAGAGAAAAAGAAAAAGAAGAAGAGAGAAGAGGGAAAAGAAAAGAAGAAGATGGGTTTCTGGTCATTGTTAGAGATGGCATCCATGCCAATTGTGCAAGTTCTTCTTATAAGCATACTTGGAGCTTTCATGGCTACAGATCGTTGGAATCTTCTGCCTGTTGCTACCCGCAAATCCTTGAATAAGGTATATATATATATGTATATATATATAAATGTATATGTCTATGTAACATATATGTAAACACACACATGTATGAGTTCGAATTTTTATATATATTATCTATTTTATTTTCTTTAAAATAGTGTCTAAAAATTTGCAGATAGTGTTTGTGATATTTACGCCGGCGCTTATGTTTGCGAGTCTGGCTAAGACTGTTACGTTTCAAGACATAATCTCCTGGTATATATATATAGCTTACCGTGGACAAATATATATACACGCACACACACACACACATACTCTCATCTGTATGGTTTGATAGAATTATGATTAACTATTGCAGTATGCATTTACTATGATGAATCAGGTGGTTTATGCCGGTGAATATTGGGTTGACGTTTTTGTTTGGGAGCATTTTTGGATGGCTGCTTGTTAAAATACTCAGACCCAAGCCTTATTTAGAAGGCCTCGTCATTGCTACCTGTTCATCAGGTACATATATACATAGATGTGTCTGTATAGTTATATATATATATATATATATATATATGAAATTCATATTAACATTGTGGTTAATTAATTAAAAGGGAACTTGGGAAATCTTATCATTATCATCATCCCTGCAATCTGCAATGAGGATGGAACCCCTTTCACCGATCACAACATCTGCAGATCAGTTGGTCTATCTTATGCTTCTTTCTCCATGGCGGTAATTCTTCTCCTTCTTTCTTTTTCTTTTTTTAAAAAAAGAAATATTGTCTTGGAGATTTTAAATGAAAATTCTGATTTGTGTTTCTCCATGGGATAAAACGCAGCTTGGCGGGTTCTACATATGGACATATACATACCAATTGATACGAACTTCATCTCTGAAACTCAAAGCACTTGAAGGTTCTGAAGAGGAAGCCTCTAAATCACCCAACAAAAGTTTGGATTCCACCCACCAAACTCAACTGCTCAACGAATCTATTGAAGATGCTGAAAGCCAAGTAAGTTGCCTTTTCTGAATGATGGGTGTATATGTATACACAAACACACACACACATATATATAAATGTGGTTAATATCTTATGTGTCTGCAATTTCAGGTAGTGTTTACTGGAGGAGAGGAGGAGAAGCAAGGGGGGTCGTTTTGGAAGAAGGTTTTGGGATTTCTTCATCAGATCTTGGAGGAGCTCATGGCTCCTCCTACGCTTGCTGCAGTAAGTAGTATTATCTAACTACAAACTAATATTTGATTAATTAATTAATTTTTAAAAAACATAATCATAATAAAGCTACTAATAATCAGATAATAGGATTCATCTTTGGTGCGATCACATGGCTTAGAAATCTCATAGTCGGTGACAATGCTCCCCTGCGGGTAATCCAAGACTCGGTTAAACTACTTGGGTACGTACATTTAGCTTCTATTCTCTGTTTTCTTCTGTTTTTTCCTCTTAATTGAAAATAATAATTTACAAGTTAAAAGGTGATTTTTTTTGTTTTATTGAAGAGTTAATATTATGAATATGTACTGAATAAATTAAACTTAAACATGTATATTTTGAGTTTTTTTTTAGATGTTTTATGTATTAAGTTTAAATATATGTTTTTAAAATTTTTCTAAATGTCTATATATATCTATATACTTCAAGAGTTTTTATAACAATCACAAATGAAAATTTTTTCAATAAAAATTGTTCTCATTGCTTACAACTATACTTTCAAACAATCGAGTTGGATTCTTTACCAACAGGTCTGTAATTTGTAAACATGTTCGTTTCCAGATCAATTTTTGTCTTATTAATCCAGACAGTAAATTTTTACCAGATTTTTGAAAGGATTATTTCTTTTCATTATCATTTCAACAAACCCAAATGATGTCATAAAAGAGTTTTCACCAATAATTGAGAATTAGGGTCATGTCAAAATTGCAAGCTCCACCTTACCCTGCTTTTTTGAACTCTTGAATGAATATCAAACTGTCATGGGTCGTCCATTTTAAAAGCCAATTGTTTGTATGCAGGGATGGCACAATTCCTTGTATTACCCTTATACTGGGAGGCAACCTAATTCAAGGTAAAAAGACAAAGAAGTCGTTCCCATGGAACTTTCCTGTTTTCTATATGAAAATGGCACAGGATTGTATAGGGGGACTAACAGGTTAATTGAACAGGTTTGCGGTCTTCAACACTTAGGCCATTGATCATTGTGGGAGTGGTGTGTATCCGATACATCATTCTTCCTCTCATTGGCGTTTGGGTGGTTAAAGCTGCTGGAAATCTTGGTCTCCTCCCCCAAGATCCTTTGTTCAGCTTTGTTTTGATGGTTCAGTTTACTCTTCCACCAGCCATGAATATTGGTATGCCATTTTCTTCATACATATATATATATATATATATGTATTTCTTTTCAAAAAAGAAAGAACAGCCCAAATACTCACTGGTTTACTCCAATAGTCACTTCATTAATAATCAAGTACAGATTTGTCGACAAAGTTGAATGCATAGTTTAATCTCAAATCAGATTCGTGATTTGATTTTTTTCTAAAGTGAGATTGTGGTGTATTTTCTCTGTGAATTCTCTAGTTTCACCATAACTAATGCAATATTTTCATCTCAACATCTAGCCTAAATTCAGGGTTTGGTTCTCCTAAAATGACCCTGCAAAAGAACCCTTTCTTGTAAACTCACAAGTGTAGATATACAAGAAAAAATGAAACGGCTAAAAAAACAAGATTTACAAGTTGGTAAAATTTTCTTTTCTGTGAAATAATAAAATTCCCAGAAGAATCATGGACGGTAATCTTGCAGGTACGATGACCCAGTTATTCGATGTGGGTCAAGAAGAGTGCTCGGTTCTCTTCCTTTGGACTTACCTGGCTGCTGCTTTCGCTCTCACCGCCTGGTCAACAATATACATGTGGATCCTCTTCTGAAGCAACTGCCTGCAACTTTACAGATTGCTGGGATATTTAAACAGACATGCCTTGCTGCCAGTTGGCCTTGTAGAAAATAGAAATGGCTTTGCAGCTTTTATATTACATTTATTCATATCCTCAAAATGCATTCATGTTTTTTTTACCTCATCAAATAATATAGTCCACGCAAAATTTTTGATAGATGTCCAAGTTGCTTTAAAATGATAAATAGATTCTCATAGTTCTGGTCAATAGATACCTAGGAGGGATTTTTTGTTGGTGACATTGTCTCCAGTTCTCTCATATATATATATATTACATTAATCGGGTTGAAAGTTTGTAAAACTATAATGAAATGTAAACCTTAGATTATTTATGTCACAGATCATTTCAAAAATTAATGTGCCAAGTCCTGTTCTTCCTAACTAATGCTTTAAAAGATTTCACTCTCTTAGACACCAGTTCTGGGTTTGAACAGTGTAAACTGAAAATGAAAATAATATTACATTTTCTCACTCAAAAAACACCTCCCTAAAAGAAAAAATAATAATAATAAAAAAAGTTCATCCCTCTACAATTCTACAACCTAGTCTCAACAACCAAAATAGATGTTACAGCTTCTTGCAGCAATTGCTCCCTGATCAAGTAATCACTTCGTCTTTCAGAGGAAGATCACGCAAGTTTTTCCTTAAGCATGAGTTGGAGCTTGGGGCGGTTCGGGTGAGGCTCCACAACCTCCATGTGAATCTGCACTGTCTGCAGAACAGTGTAGGAAGTGCTACCATCCATCTTCACAATCTTCTGCTGCTTCTCATCTGCATACCATTCCCCACCTCCCTTTTCGCTTCTGGTTGTTAGGTACACTGGCCCTTCTATTCCATACCTGCAGAGAACCCGGATGCTCATTTCCCCCTTAAATATTCGGAACCACCATGATAGTGAAGCATGATAATAAAAGTATCCTCAGAATTACAAATATTATACTTGCAAAACTATTTTATGTCGTGCATAAACTTTTGTGGATGGAAAGACGGACATGAACATTAGTATTACAGCAGGGGTGTAACAGATGAAAAAAGAAAGTAGCACTAAAGAGAGATAGTTGAGGAACCTGTCTCACTAAGTTATGCCATGTTTTCCCCGTTCAGAAAATTAAAAGCATAAGATGATGAACAGCAGAAGACTATCATCAATGAAAAGAATCCCATGAAAGACTGATTTACATACTTGGGCACAAAAACTATAAATCCGTTGGATCTTATCTTCACTATTCTTGCCTCTGTATCCGTGGGCCTACAGCATAGCAAAATGTGTTAGAATGCTTCCACATCCACATCCAAGACATACAGGAAGAGTTGAGGATACACACCGATTCCTGAAGAAGATAAGAGTGTGGAGCTCTACTGAGGCTCGGCTTGCCATCTGGGCATTCCTATGGCGATAGTTTAAATCTGGACCAAATTTAATATAAAAAATGTCCTTAACTTTTAGTATAAATTCACCAAAAAGAAAACCAGATGTCTAGGTGGTGTCTTTCAGCACTTAAGAAGACATGTCATCCATCCCAATATTTTGAATTCTAGAAATCAAAGTTATTCACACCAGATATAACAGAATGGAACTTGGTAGACATGAGAAATAATCTGCAACAAATCCCAAGGAGAACTTAGGACCTAGGAGTTGGTTTAGGTTTCTCTTTTCCCTGTCATTTCTAGGCGCATGTCATGTATACATAGTGTAGTTGAGATGTAACCACCATTAAGTTCTCTGATGAATTTTATTATTTCTTCCAAGAGGGAAAGGCTATCATTAACAAAGTTCCGCAAGCAACATATAATCAAATGTCAAGAAGGTCCAGGTACAGGAAGCACTATTAGCACTGGGCAAGAAGTCTTACTGTCAGCAATGCTAGTGAGTTGAGGTCTGTCTTGGAATACTGTTGGAAGCTTGTATATACCTAAGGATGCCGCAAGTAACCTGTGTACAATGACATCTGCATGGAAGAAAGCTAGCATCATATATCCCATTCATCAAATAAAAACACATGAAAATTAGCATTGATTACCTGCATATCTTCTAATAGGGGAAGTGAAATGGGTATATAGAGGTGCTGCAAGCCCATAATGGTGGAATTCTGGAGGGCTGAGATCCCCACTACAGAAGTAAACGGCCTAAATTTATAATTCAAAAGCAAATGTTAAATTTCAGAGATGGCTCGTAAAAACTATTACTTGTTCACTCTAGCATTTAAGTTACCTGGGTCATGCACCTAGTTGCCAATATCCGGATCAGCTTATTGAAATATGGATCATCACCCTAGCAAACGCGATTTTAAGAAAATGATTAAGTGAGATCGAGAGAGATGAGCAACTGACAATATAAACAGAGCAACTAATAAAACCACAAGGTCTCACATACAACTAATCTGAAACTTAATTAGTGGATGCACAATAATCAAAGGAAGAAAGTGTGAGCAAAATAGCTTAACAAACCACTGTTTCATATCTCACTGCCCTGACAGGCTAATACATGTCTACATGATGCATATTAATTTGGCAAGTTCAAAAATAAACTTATTAAAGTAGAAAAATGAAGAAATGGTAATGCAAATAGCTATAACTTAAATTTTCAGCATATTTAGCATATCCTTCTTGAAAAGTATCAGTATAGTGAAAGAAGGCACAATAACTGGCACATCAACTATTCGGTCAAATAACTGGCCAAGTAATAAAAGAAACAAACCACAGCTCGATCAAGTGAATCAGCCAGTGCTTTTGATGATGAGACATCCAAGGCAATTCCAGCAGTAGCAGCAGTACATAACAAAGGTTCAAGCATCTCTCTGGTAGGAGTTGGATGACGTCTGCACAAGGACAAATTCCACAAAACACACAATTAATCTCATCAAAATAACAGCAAATGAAACAAGTAAATGAGATATTTAGTTAAAAAAAGGATAATTGCAACCACCACATTCGAATATAGCTAAATGTAACAATGCCGGTCCATGCATACTTTAAAACAGAGAAGATAACCATGGTCATTCAGCCACATGGTTGCAGCATTTGCAAGGAAATAATCCCAAATCCAACATTGAGGAGGATACGCAAGAGGGAAGAAATCCCACCTCCTCTATACGGCTCAAAGGAGAAAAGGGGTTTCTTTTATAGCACCCATCAACTATCCATGATGGGACTCTACTATAAGCCTTGTGCTTACAGGCGAAGGTACAAAACAAAAGCAAGTTTCATCATGATGAAGTCAGGGTACCGGGCAGGAGAAACTTACCTCAACAGCGAACAAGAAGGAAAATGATTGAGGATTTTTTCAGCAACTGAAACATTAGCTGCGAGCATAAACTCCTCGACCATTTGGTTTGCTTCTCGGATTTGATACATACCTGCAAAAACAATTAATGCATTAGACATACGATAAGATGAAGAGAATAACTGGGACAGAGGGGGGTGGGGAGAGGGAAGCGAGGGAGAGTTAAGAAATTGGAAGCCGAATGGATCTATCACATTAGAAATCCATCTTTTGAATGAAAGATATTCTTCTTCGGAGGTTAAAGACATTAAGGATAAAAGTTAGTACTGTTTGCAGGCATATCAGATCGAACCACAAAATATGAGCATCTTTTACAGGTCCAAAGACATGCCAAAGTAGGAAAACAAAATCTAATTCACTAGCTTTGGGCCCCAGAGAATAGAGAACTATGGAAGTCTTAAATCTGTGATTTAGAATTGATATGTAAGCTCACTTAAAAATTGTAAATAGAGTAATTTTATCAGTGCCAATATAATGGCAGAGAAACAGAATTTTCTAAATAATTATGTTGCATTAGTTATCACCCATCAGACAAGGATAAAATGAAATGATGATAACAAAATATGTCACTGCCTTGCTAAACTAAAGTAACTTGTGACTTCAACGTACCAATATCAAGAGGATCATGAGTCTCAGTATCAATTTGAAATTTGACTTCAGCAGAGGCGAGGGTTAAAGCTCCTCTGTCGATACGCCTTTGCCTCATTATCTGCAGTTTCATAAATAAAAACATACATCTCCGAGAAATTCAAACTTTAAAATGCAAATTAAGTACACTCTTGTTAGTAAGTACTGTGAAAACAATGGGAACAGACTCTCAGGTGTTACCTACCTTTGCCAAAGCATTCATATTTCTCAAATCTGTGGTTACTGAATCTGTTAATCGACTGCAAAAGACACAAGCAATTTCAATGCTTCAAACTGATTGACACAGAGAATTTTAGAAACTTGTATAAGAATTCAAACATGCATACCAAACCCCCTAATTCTTTTATTTTTTTGTTTTTCGAATTTGTTTACTAGGTCAGGGGTTTTAGTATAACCACCTCCAGACATATTTCTCACCTCATCAAGATAACTGTAACTAATACATTCCCACATCCTTCCAAGAATATGTCACTAGGACAAGGAAAATCTAAAAGTTAAGGTTCTTGGAATACATTAGCATCTGACCAACTTGCTTTTTCCCAAATATTATGGTCTCTTATTTGTACTTGGTGAGATCAAATTACCAGAAAAAGGCATAAAACATATTATTTTTTCAGTGTCAATTTGGGGTCTACCACACTCTAGGAGTAAATTCAACTGACACTTATTGCATATGCTCCAAAAGAACATGTATTTTTTTTATAGAAAAAGATTTATTAAAAGAATGTATTAATCCTTCAATGGACTAAACACACTTCTTGTTACTCTAATATTCCTAAAACAATTGTAACTCTAATTGCATTTCAGACCTCTGGATACTGTTTAAAAAACTACCCAGCTAGCTCAGTGATGTGTTCTTTTTTTTTTCTTTGAAATAAAAAGTATAAGACACATATTAAGTAACGGCACCAAAGAGATGCCACCCATTTACAAAAGATTTACACACCAGTTAGCATATCTACTACCGCTCCAAATCTTCTAAGCTATATATATTGTCTTAAAATAATGGAGTCAAAATATTCCTAAAAAAATTGTAAATTTAATCGCATTTCAGACATCTGGATACTGTGTATAAAACTACCCAGCTAGTTCATTGATGTGTTCTTCTTTTTTTTTTTGAAATAAAAAGTATAAGACACATATTAAGTAACGACACCAAAGGGGTGTCACCCATGTATAAAAGATTTACACACCAGTTAGCATATCTACAACCGCTCCAAAATCTTCTAAGCTATATATATTGTGTCTTAAAATAATAGAGTCAAAATATTGAAACCACCTACTTTTAAGATTCACAAAAGTATCCTCCCGCCTTTCAAAAGTCCTATTGTTTCTTTCCTTCTAAATAACCCAGAATATGGACAAAGGGATAATGCGGACAGATCTATTATTGCCAGTAAGCTCCTCCCAAGCCAATAATTTATTGTTTACCGAACCCACCATTACCCAATTGATACCCATAAGGCTGTAAACGAGAGTCCAAAGGCTATAAGAAAAGGGGCACCAAAGCAGTAAGTGATTGAGAAACTCCGCGGTGCACTTGCAAAGTGCAATGAAATTTTCTGCCCAACCAAGCTGCTTCTGCTGTCAATTCATTGGCCATTCACACAGCTAAAATGTAAATAAAAAAAATGCTCAATACTCAAAAAGAAAGCATACCTATCATCCATTCTAGCCTGAGCTTCAACATAAGATAAAGCGGCGCAGGATTTGATGACACTTTTTGTGTACCTCATGGAAACAATCTCTGCTTCAGGAGTCATTTCCTGAAGTTATGTGATTAAGTTAAATATCTGAATAATATCCTCAGACCGTTGCCCCATAAAAATATGCATGTAGCTGACATGCAATGTTAAATATGTAAAAAAAAAAAAGAAATTAAATAGAAGCCAGAGCAGCTATAAGTTGCATAGTCCTCCTGAATGAAATATAGAGTCCATTTGCTCCATCAATCCAAAGTAGAAACGCAGAAGACCTTAAGGTGGTTAGCACCTATGGCTCACTGAATTACTCACAAGGTAAATAAGCATCTAAGTGAGAGCAGTTGAATGGATGGGCATATTGGTTCTACTCAGATAAGAAGTTTGAAATACAGTGAATCATCAAAGCGAAATATTTCTTTGAAGAAAAAGAGCGAAGGAAAATACGAACAGAACTACTAGAAGTCTTATCATAATAAGTAGTTGAAGAACACATACCCAAATAACAGAGAAAGCAAGCCTTTCCACATCCGCTCGAAGTGAACATATATCTGCAAGCAAAATCTTTTCTTGAGAAGAAAAAAGAAATATTATAAACAAGGCAACAAGGAGGTGTTACCATAAGCTGCAAGCAAAATCCTACCACTGAGCATGCTTAATTTTTTTTTTAAAAAAACAGACAAAATAGAATGAAACTACAGATTATAGAATGCATAAATTCATCTAATACAAGACTTAAACTAATTGAAAACTGAAGGAGAAAGAAAAATAAGAAATTCACCTTCAGTTAGAGGTTTAGGAAGCATGTCAATACGGCGATCAACAAGGTAAACAGATGTGCCCCTTTGTGTAGCTTCATAGTCAAGAGGGGTTCCAGGGTGAATAAAATTTGTTACATCAGCAATATCTATGATCAAAAACTATTAAGGACAAACAATGGTGAATCATGCCTGTGCTTACTACAAATAATTAGCATGGTACCACATTGAGACATGAGGATATTGATAATATTCTAATCGAATGAACCATTTCAAGTGAAAGTTCAATAGAAAAATATCTCATTCAAAGAAATTATAAATAAAATAAATTGAGGTTACACAATAACTAGTGAAAAGAGAAAACTTTATGTAACTTGGAGAAAAGACCTGAGAGAAAAACATTTCAAATAGAATATGCTACAGGAAGAAGCCTGACTATTTAAGTCAGTAGAGACAATTTCATATCAAGAATAATATTAAACAATGACACTAAAACAAAAATACATAAATGAACTTGGTTAAGGAAACAGAAATTTCTAAACTTAGAGTGAAAGTGGGAAGTGAGAGCTGAGAGGACCAAGGAGAAAAATGACAGATTGCCTAATAGTATAAGTTAGAAATCTAAGTTAGAAAAGCTCCTTACCAAACTTGTGATATTTTATGTTATATGTGGACGAAATTGTGCAAATAGCTTTAAAGAAAACTATTTACTGACATCAACTCATTCATTCCCTCACATATTGGTACAGCTAACTTCGATATATACATTTAATTCTTTCCACTATAGATATAATATCCTTCTGATGATTGGTGAAAGAAATGAGTGGGTTCAGATTTACATCCTGCATACTTACAGGCTAGAAAATTTAATTTTCGCACAATAACCTTAATGGCTAGAATTTCCAACTTTAGGTAAATTGACACCTGCAGCATAATAAAAAGTCAGCATACTAAAGGATACGAACTCCAACTTCAAAGTTTTCATTTGGTAGAGCTGTGCAGTGCAGTGCATCATCAATATCCTTGCATCCTACACAACCCAAGAATTATTTGTTTCTTTCTTAGTCAGTTGGTATTTATCTAACAACTATAAAAGGAAGTAAGAAGCCAGTGATATATGGAAAGAATTAAATTTAGAATCATAAACCTGGGGGATCTACACTGAAGACACGCAAATGTCGTAAATCCAACCTAACAGGATTTTCCAGGTCTGCGGAAGAAACTGACCATGGTAATGGTGGCAAGCATGCCAAAACTTGAGTCGAGAATGGCCTTGAGTTTATATCATTCTCTATTAAGACCACCTGCACTCACAAAATTAATTATTAATAGTTCCCAACTACATTTTTATCAAAAACTTCTGTTTGCAAGCAATAATATCTCTCTCCCTCCTCTCCCCAGGTACGCAAAATAAACTAGTCTTAAGTACCTCAGTTTCGGTATCTCTATCACCTATGTCCCCTATGGTTCGAACATAATGACCAGAAGGGTAACGAGATTGACAGTCCCAAGAATCAACTGCCACAATTATTCTCTTATCCAAAAGATTTTCAAGCTGTCGTGTTGTAATCCGAATTTTAGGAACTCTATGGTCTTTGGAGACAAATAAGGCATGAGCAACACTTCCACTGCCAGCAGGCAAAGGCATTGGCTCCAGAGATCCACAGTAACTGCATGGAACCATGAGGCCCTGTTAGAAAAACTGAGACCATAACCAGTAAAATATTGGGCATCATCATCTAGACATAGAGGAAAAAAAAACGTTCCAGACTCCTTTGTGAGAGGCAACATACAGGACAGAATAATATAAGTAGATGTTTTCCTACGTGGGTAGAATTTACAATGACTAAATCTTGAAACTTATTAAAACATAGCCCTGAGTTTGATCCACGGATCATATATGTTGAAAACTATAAAACATAAAATACCATTTAACTAAAATCAGTGTTAACTGAAGGTGAATACAAAAAGTAAGCACAGTGAAGTGCATCAAGTCAAATGTATACTACTGACCAAATCATACAGCCACCAAGTTGGAATCTGCGAACATTTATTCCTCCTGTTGGCCAAATATGGTGCCATATTCTTCAAACAAGTCAATGCATGTGTTTCTTCTCGCCTACTTTTAAGTGATCACATGCTATGTATAATCAGAAATAAACATGACATATTAACATAAGTAATAAACTTACGAGTGCCAGTTGCGCCTTATAATGCCGACAACACGGCCTGATGGCCGACTTAGGGTGATATTTTTGCCCCTATCAGCACCTTGTACTAGATTTGTGATTCTAGGAGCATCATCTGCACTGGTTGGGATAAGATGAACGTCATCGTCCTCATCATCTTCTCCTTCGTCTACTATGGATAGACTTTTCTCCTCATGCCATTGATCTTGAGGCAAAAGCTCCACAGCCACAATATCACCATCAAAAGCCCTATTCATGTTACTACGACCATAAATAATTACTTCTTCACCAATGCTCTCACTCCCAACATATGCTTCAAATGGATTGTAACGGTTAACACGAAGTTTTCCTTGGTGATATATTCCACGATGCAAGCCTGCAGTAATCTCAGACATGGGCTTGTGCTGAAGAAATAACATATCGCAAGAAACTTCACAAAATCAGTTTTATTAGATGAATAGAATTAGGTAAACAAATACTCACTGATGAAAATTTAAAGCAATACGTTTTACCTCTTGGTATATGATTTTCCTCTTTAAAGGTCTTGGATCATCGACTTCTTCCATGATTATGTCCTCAGATGAAGGTCGGACAACTAAGTCAAGCAAATCCGGTTGACCCAAAGATTTAACATAGGACTCAACTGAAACAAAATGATAATTCAACATTAAGTTTTGATGCTTCCTTTAAATACCAAACTACTAGGAAAAACGATAACAATGATTAGCAAATAGCAACTAAGACACTCATTGACGAGGCACCAAAAAGGCATTAAAAGACACTGAACATACTTGTCTCTGCAGAAATGCCCTCTTCAATAGCCTTTGTCCTATTTTCCCTGTCATTTGTTATAAGTAAAACTCGTGTTGCATCACCAAGATGAGTTTGATACCATCGTGTAGCTATGCGAATTGCTGAACCACAATTTCTCACCATCAAATCTCAAAACTCACAGAAGCATGCCATGTGGTAAACAAAGTCTAACTAGTGATCACAAACCTCTATCATTACGATCATTTGCACTTTCTCTCTCCATAGCCTTCACATAAGTATCCCTAACCAAAAAGACGCAGTTAAGATATTATTGCTTAAAAGGCTTGATAGCAATGAAGAGTGACCTTTTATAAGAGTCCCTCTGCCATACTTATGTACTCTAGAACTAAGAAATTTTTACTGAAGCATAAAAGAAATATTGGAAGCTGTATAATTACATTCGTGAAACTCTCTATTTAATAAAGAAGGAAACTTACTTATGGAATTGATTAGCAAAAACATAGAATCTCCTCATAGAATTGCTGCATAGGGCTCTTATTCTATTGTAAACTGACATGTTCTTGTTCTTAACCTCTTCCAGGACAATGGATAGCACAACCACATCGTCGATTGCTGGATTCTCCAGCAAATCAATCTAAGAAATGAGATGGTCATTCTTCTTTTAGAACAAGAATTTAAGGGGAAAAAAATCTCCAGAAAATTAATCGTCTTTAATCCATCAAATAATAAGTGACATAAAAATACCTGGCGAAGAACGACATTAGTGTCAACTACGAGAATCGTAGAAGAAGTCAAGCGAGCAGCTGAATTATCACACTGCTTGCAACAGGAAGCTCCACAGTATATGTCGTCTCTCAGATACACTTCTCTCACTTGCTGCCTCAAGAGTACGAGAATATATATGAACAAAATCCAAAGAAAATAAACAGTATAGCTGTGACTATAAGTAAGAATCAAGTTTTTTTTTTTTAAAGCAAAAAAAAAGGTCAGTGCAAGAGGGAAAATAACCTTTTGTATTTTGCCTCCCCTGGTTTTCTTGTTAAATACTTTGCTCTGCAACATCTCTCCTTCAATAACCTCCCCTCAAGTTTCCTCCTTGTAGAGCTGGTAGTCTAGCACGGAATTAAAACAGGCGAACGATGTCTTTTGGAAGATTAATTTTTATAACAAAGGATAATTTCTTGTTAAATACGTAGCTAGCTCATCCTCTTTCGAGTACTAGATTCACCATCATCTCTCTATTGTCCTTCGAATTACAGACATTACAGAAGCCGTAAAACACCTTTTTCTTCCTTCATTGGACCGGTCACTGGCCTTTCACGAACCCTGGGAAACAGGTTTATATAACTCCAAAACGACAACGTTTTGCATTGACAGTAAAGATGTGTTGGGCTGATTTCATGGGCTTTCTTCCGATAAGTTTAAGTCTTGCGCCGAGCGGGCTGTGAAATTTTTAATGGGCCAAGTCATATGGTTTTGGGCTCATAATTCCAAAACGATAACGTTTCTGCGTTGCCAATAGCCCTATTGGGCTGTTCATGGGCTTCTTTCCAATAAGCTTTCATTTTGGGCCTAACGGGCTGCGCCAAATCATATGGTTTTGGGTCATACTTCCAAAACGGCAACGTTTCTGCGTTAACGGTAGCTGTGTTGGGCTGATTTCATGGGCTTCCTTCCAATGTGTTTTGCTTTTGGGCCGACCGCGCCGTGAAATTTTAATGGGCCAAATCCTATGGGTTGGGCTCATATCTTCAAAACGACAACGTTTCTGAGTTGAAAGTAGCAGTGTTGGGCTGATTTCATGGGCTTTCTCCAATGAGTTTTGTTTTGGGCCGAACGGGCTGTGAAATTCTAATGGGCCAAATCACATTCAATATTTGCTATGATTTTAATCAATTCTTCAAATATGAAAATGAAGTTTGTAGATAAAATATATTGAAGGAAAAAATTTGTCTTGGACAAAGAATGAGATTTAATGATCTCTTCATTGCATAAAATATATTTTAGTTATAGAATAAAAAATATTATATGATGCCCATTTCATTATATAACTATTTAGTTTAAGACAGTAAAAAACAAATATAATTCTATCGTCACGTGCGCATGCATGACAATTTTAAAAAGAGTATTTCAAAATTTTAGAAAACAAAAATTAACTTTTTTAATGTGAGTAACACTACTTTTTAGCTCTAACTATAAATGCTACTCTTTTAAGGCATTTGTCACAGCTTTAAAATAAAACCTTACTCTTAAAGCTCTAATTTTTGTTATTCATAAGGAATAAAATCTTGTATTTTACCTTGTTTCTCTACTCTTCAAGAAAAAAGAAGCTTCTGCTCGTGTAAATTTCTTCAAGTGCATCCTCTGGATGTTCTAAAAACATGATTGGGGAATGATTAAGAGGGAGTTTATACCTTTGTAAAAAGGGAACTATTGAGCAAGAGAGACAAATTATTTGTGACAGTGTGTGCAGTTTTATGGAAAAATGATAAACTTTTGTGAAATAGTGTGAAGCGTTTATGGAAGAGAATAACTTTTGTGTAAACAATAAAGAAAAAAGAAAATGAAAACAGAAAAAAGGCTTGCGTTATCGCGACATGTCCTCCGTCTTCAATGAATAGTCAAAGAGAGAAGTTCGGCTTCGAAGTCCGCAGACCCACTGTAGCTCCTCAGTCAATCTTCTCACCAGAAGAATGTTGACACGATAAATCGTGGGAGAAACTCCGGTGAGCCGTGCCGGTAGGGAAGACTTGAAGGCAAAACAATTGGCTAAGGCTAAGCTAACCTCCTGGGCTTGGAGATCCTAAAAGTGCAGTCCTCCTGGAAGCTTCGAATCTTTCGTGTTGCCTTCAATTATTTTTATTTCTCATCATCTTATCTCACCGCCCGCTTTTTGTATCACCAGAAACTCTGATCTGCCTCAATTCGACACTCTTCTGCTTTTGTTTCTGTTCCAGCGTCGCAGATGAGACGAGGCTTTGTTTGGATTTCATGGCGGGTATTGTTTTTTATGCTCGTAATCGTCACCGTGTTAGTGTATTTTCGCCCATTATCCAGACCGATCGCGAGCACAGTTGGCGACGAGTCGAGCCTGGAGAATTCGGAGATTGTAGTTTCTGTCCCCCAAGCAGATCATTATGTAGACGTACCTAGAGCAGGGGCAAGATCTCTTTTGTATGCGCTGTGAGTTTTTCATTTTCCGCTTTCCTTGATTTGCTTTCCTATTTCCTATCCCCTTTGATTTTGCTCAAAATTCATCCAAAGTTTTAAGAATACGTTAAGAAGACGCGTGAGGTAGTGGCCCAGTTTTGATTATTCATAAATTTTCCTGGTTTCTAAGATTTTCTTTTTCTTTTTCTTTTTTTTGGGTGTGGGGGTGATGACGCAGTGAACCTGAAACGGCGTTGGTTAAGCCCGAGACAGAATTAGTTGTTGACCTGGATGGAACAATAACTCTAAGGCATAAGTCTGAGAGAGTGCTCTGGTCGTTTGCAACCGGATCACCAATTTACTCATCATATCAGGCTCCCATTGCAGAAAATGATAAAGAAAATGTTTCTGATCTCACTACTGGATTCTTCCTAGATTTTTGGGATGACTGGACGTTGTACGCCCATGACAAGCACCATGGTGCACTGGTACGAAGCAAAAATGTTCTCTAAATTAAATTGAAAACGAAACATTTGAATCCTTATCTGCAAATCCTGTAAACTTGATTTGCAAGCTTTTTATTTTCTAAATGTCCTTCTTGTTCCTTACACGTGTTTGCATATGATATGTGGTTCATCATCTAAAACTGAGAAGAAATTTGCTTACTTCTGTTTAGTTTTTTTTTTTTTGGAATTATTTCATTGAGGGTGTTCTTGTTTGTGACACACCTGCGAATCATGTTTGTTTGTTTTTTTCTTTTTGGCATTATTTCATTGGTTATGCCGGTTTCTTATTGGTATTTGAGGATGGTGTTAAAGTTGCAGAAGACAAACTTACGACATACTTGCTAAATATGCCTTTTGGTTTTGCATGGTTGGGACATGTCATTATCTTTTTGCCTGATTGCTTACCTAAGTTCTCTTTTATCATTGACTTTTTTTGGCTACACTTTAGTCATTGACTTTAATGTTGTGCTTTCAGAACCTCTCAATGACTGCTGAGGAATTTGTGAAAATTACACCACACGTATCACATGATGGAGTTATACTTGGATCTAAGACAACCACTGTCTTTGTGATTGATGGTAAGACTGGAACGCTGGTCCGATCTTATAAATCACCTTATTCTCCATCCCAGTCACCAACTGATACTGGTGCAAGTACTTTACTTATCAACAATCATTATGATAATGAGTTAGTAAGGCGTAGTTCTGGAAATGCTGCTGCACTACCTCTATATATAACAAGGACAGATTACAAACTGGAATATTTTGGTCTAAACTCAAGCAAGCTTCTATGGAATCTAAAAATTGCTCACTTTGGGGCTGCTTTACTTTGCCAAGATATTGAGATGCCTCTAAGGGAAAATAATTTGAATTCTAGCCATGGGCCTGGTTCTGAAATTAACAATGATTTTGACATGCCATTATCATGCCAATCCAAAATCGACATCCGAAGGCAGCACAAGTCAAAACTATCCACTAAGGTGCTCCCAAAGTCTTCAAATGCAGTGCCTATATCACAGGCCTCCATTGATGGGTCATTAAATAACAAACATGAAACCAAACTGCTTCTAGCGTTTGATCCAGATCTTCCTTCACAATCCAATACTGAGAAAGTATCCAGTTTTGATCAGAACAATGGTGATGTTTATGGGAAAGTGGATATGCTTGCTGAGAGAAAGGCTTATAATGATGAATCAACTGTGTTTTTTAGCCCGCACCTAGCATTAACATTTATTTTGTTTATCTTCGTTCTTGTGGGCTTTGTCTTCTACTGCCGTATTCATGTTGCTAAAGAACAGGATATCTTGAAAGGATGCCCTGGCAATTCTAATTTAAATGCTGTAGCTTCCAAAAGGAAGAAAAGCCGGAAATCAGGAAAGAATAATAGTGGTGTTGAGAAAAAAGACGAGGACATAACATCTGGTAATTATGATGCATTACCATTTACGGATAGTTATAACAATAAATTGTTGGATCTTAATGAACTTGCTAAAGGCGGTGCTAATGGACGGAAGATTGGCAAGTTATTTGTTTCAAATACAGAAATTGCTAAGGGAAGCAATGGTACTATTGTCCTAGAGGGTTTCTATGATGGACGATCAGTTGCTGTGAAACGCCTTGTTCGATCTCACTATGAAGTTGCTTTCAAAGAAATTCAGAATCTCATTGCATCTGACCAGCATCCAAATATTGTTCGATGGTATGGCGTGGAGTATGATCAAGATTTTGTTTATTTATGCTTGGAGCGTTGTATATGTAGCTTGGGTGATTTGGTCCCAAATCACTCCGATTCCTTATACCCTGTCTCCAGTGAGAATCAAGTAATGAAGGCTATAACCGGTTATACGATACGATTGGATTCAGTGAAGGGTATTTTGCAGGATATTAATCTCTGGAAAGCAAGTGGGCATCCAACACCTTTATTGTTAAAATTGATGAGGTTAGCATAGACATATTGGTGACTCAGTAAAACTTCTATGAACCTGTAAAATTTATTCTCATGATCTGTAGTTCTTCAAAATTATTCCAGTCATTGCTGTCGATGATCAGATCATGAACATGTTGACCAAAGGGTAGATAACCCTGATAATCTGTCTGCAACTGGAAAACCTGCCGGCAGAATGAACTCTCCTGTTGTGGAGAGTAGGGTTTTCCATGCTTTCATGCATATGAGATCTATATGCATATATGTGATATGGAGCATAATAATCATACATTTAGATAATGTGTGTTACTGGCAAACATGTTAGTAGAGGCTCATGCACTCTTAGCTTCATACATTTTTTTTGATAGCCATACGATGTTAGAACAAGAATACCAGTGTGCCATTTACTTCCATTCTTAATCTTTATCACCAAAAATGGTACACGTTATGCTTGTGGCTTTTTACATGTCTTTGTAGGTTTTATGGATATCTTGCTTTACTCCTGTAAAAAAAAGATATCTTGCTTTAAGCGTGCCTCTGCATGCCTGCTACTCCTAGATGAACACAAAGTGCAGACCAGATATCTTCATCTCATTGTTAAGTTCAATTAAGTGTCTATAGAACTTATTTGTGCCAGATAATATAATACTAATCTTCTTGTTTTTCTTTTGTATATTTGAACACAGGGATGTGGTTTCTGGGATTGCACATTTGCATGAATTGGGAATCATTCATCGAGACTTAAAGCCACAAAATGTGTTGATAATTGAGGAGAAGTCTTTATGTGCAAAGCTTTCAGATATGGGCATTAGCAAACGCCTCCTTGGGGATATGTCTTCATTGGGTCATCTTGCTACTGGTAGCTATCTTGAGCATTTTATATATTAGCAGAATTCCTGTTGTTAACTTTACTTTTTGCTGCCTGTATGTGGTTGGCAGAACATATTGCGTGATAAATTATTCCCGGTAGTTGTGCTGGGTGTAGCAAACAGCTATTCTAATATAAGGCATTTCATCTAGTGGATTTCCGAGATAGGAATTAGGGAATCTCAGGATTTTAAAAGTTTGTTATTATTTTTGTAATTTGAAAAGAAAATGAAAATTTTCATCTTGGATTATATTATTTAAAATCACTGATCTTGAAGTGAAGGAATCTTTACATTTTGGAAATTTAAAATTCTTACTTAGAAAAGACAAAATGTAATGATGGGACAAAAAGAGTTTGTTGTTTGGAAAAGAATGCAAACTTCAGCCTTCAGGTTCAACATCTATGCTGTCTTTGATTAAGGTTCTCTTAATGATTGAACTGTTCATTGTACTTTATAATTGCTCAGCTATCTTGTTAAATGTGCAAAATATTTTGAGTGCAGGTTGTGGCAGTTCAGGTTGGCAAGCACCTGAACAGCTTCTTCGCGGTCGCCAAACTCGTGCAGTAGATTTGTTTAGTCTAGGTTGTGTCCTCTTTTTCTGTATCACTGGTGGCAAGCATCCATTTGGTGATCATCTTGAACGTGATGTTAACATCACAAAGAACCAAAAGGACCTTTTCCTAGTGGAGTATGTTCCAGAAGCTTTAGATCTCATTTCTGGGTTATTGAACCCTCAACCTGAACTCAGGTAAGTACTTGTCTTTCTGTTCAAATCCAGCAGTAGTTCAGCACCACATGATGCTTGTTATAAACTGGCATATCAACTCTTTGCTAAATCATTATGTAGCTTGTTAATTAGACTGATAAGAGTTCTTTTTTTTTTCTTTGGTTGTCAGGCCAAATGCATCGGAAGTGTTACACCATCCTCTTTTTTGGAATTCTGAGATGAGATTGTCATTTCTCCGTGATGTTAGTGACAGAGTAGAACTAGAAGATCGGGAGAATGAGTCTGACCTCTTGAAAGCTTTAGAAAGTACTGCAACAACGGCTATTGGTGGAAAATGGGATGACAAAGTTGAACTTGCATTTATTGTTGACATGAGCCGCTACCGGCGCTATAAGTTTCACAGTGTTCGAGACTTGTTGCGACTCATGAGAAACAAGTTGAATCACTATAGAGAACTTCCCAAAGAAATCCAGGTTTATCTCCAACTTACAGTTATAGATTGAATTAAACTAGTCTGAAATAAATATCAAGCTCAGTTCATCAACATATTTGGTTGAAAAATCATAAACTTTGTTTGGATTTCTATTTCTGAAAAAAAAAATAAATCAAGTTGATTCTAGGATTGCATTTAGCCTTGTGGATTCTGGCATGGATACTCTGATAGTGATAGAAGACAAGATCAGCCTAAACCTCATTCAGACTGGAAATGAAAAATGTTAACTGGAACTTGAACCATTTGAGGTTGATATTCCATTTCAGATGTTGTCCTTACTGCATCCATGAAGCTTTTTGAAGTGAAGTCTGTTGCCTTTCCAAGATCTTAGCTGAGACCTTAGTTTTTTTTATTTCTCATTGCAGTCTTACTACAGTGGTTCACGAGAATGAAATTTGTATACTTTTCATGTTTTGATGAGGACTAAAATATAATACTTTTAAGTCTCATACCCAAGCACTTTTTATGAGTACTTTCTATAAGATGCATGTGTGGGCTTAACCCGCTTGGCCTTTTGTCCTTTTCTTTTCCTCAGCAACTTGTAGGACCGGTACCTGAAGGTTTTGATGGCTATTTTACAAGTCGATTCCCGGGACTCTTGATTGAAGTCTACAAAGTTGTTTGCAGATACTGCAGAGAGGAAGAATGTTTTCAGAAGTATTTTACGACCACTTTTGGTTGAGTCATTTGTTAAGACAATGCCGTTTAAATTATTTAGCCATCAAACTGCAGGTTAGTTGCAGTTGCATATAATTGTTGTATATAACTGTAGATATACCTGTAATATAATCTAATAAGATATATCAACTTTTGAACATTACCTAATGTTACTTGTACTTCTCAAGTTCCCCAAAAAGGACAGGAAGTTGTTGATTAATGGTTAGAATCATAATTTTAAGTTGCTCTGATTTGTCTTTGGGTGCATGATTTGAGCGAGCAATGCCCTGATCTTGTCACTTTCTGAAGTTTTGATTGCCAATTTCATTAAAAGAAATGCAGTACATGATAAATACTTGTATGTAATTAGAAAACCCTTTTCCTAAGCTTGACTAAAATTTATTTCCAAGCTGACTCCTGAAAGTACTGCATATCATTCATCTGCTGCTTGGTTAAGGAAATGCAGCTTTAGTAGGTAAAACCGCATTGCCCCCACATAGTTGCTAAGTAACGATAAGAGCTGTCTAAGTTGTACTGGTGACTGATTTAATTTTATGTCTTTTAATAACCCAGGCTGGTGTTTGAAGCTATATCAATGCGTTTTATGTTGGAGGCAAATCTGTTGAATCTGTTTGTTGAATTATCTTTGGCAGTAGTTATGGTTTCTCCACATGCCTTCTCTTGTTGCGGTAGATAACTTCACTTTTTCATCAACAAATGAAAGAAATGTCTGAATCCGCGCAGATCGCAAGCTTTGACCAGAAGAAGAAACTAATTCCTGTGGGTGACGCTGGTTGAACTTGCCTATTATTTGTATGAATTAAATGAGGAGAACAAAAAGGCAAGCCAGAGCACATGCCCAAAACTGACCCCCGAAGCTCTTTAGCTGAAGCTTATCATCCTCTAACTTTGTGCCTTGTAAACTGCAAGCAGTTCTCAACAGCCACTTTTCATGCATCCTCTGCAGATCACCATTTTCCTAAAGCTTCAGAATTGCAGTTGACATGTCGACTGCCAAAGGCGAGTCTCGTGGAAATGCCCAACCAAGCATGCAACAAATCATATCTGCATACGTAGGAGCAAATATTTCTATATACTTGCTCCTGTGAAGCATGTGGAAGATAGTAGAGATACTTAAAAACACCCAACCATTTTTAGTGAATTCTTTGCCTACTATGCTAACGCACATATGGCTGAGAGGAAAAGTTCTATAAAATATTTGCACGCTCATCGACCACTGCATCAACACCGCCCTTGTTAGGACCATCTTTCAAGGCTGGGATGAGTCTTCGTTCATGGTCTCTGGGTTCATCTGTTAAATAATTCCAGGCAAATGAACCTTGTGGATACCCACTTCGATCATTGCTTGACATTAAAGCTCTGAGGTCAAGCTTGCTATTGAGCTCGAGTTGATTATCAGAACCACAAATAGCCATTATCTGTGCCAACCTGCTGATACTGCACAACTTCAATTTACGCTGGTTTTCTGCTCATAGGATCAAAACCCAGAAAAATTCAACTACTGCTACTTTGGGCGAAGAACAGAGTTGAAAAGCTATACCTGAATAACATGCAAAAACCTTCTGATAAGCTGCTGAAGAATTGAGGAGATGAGCTAGGATATAAGAAGGCAATACTATAATCACTTACCATAAAACAGTGGCAACTTGTCTTTTAGGAGGACCTCGGAAGTCATTCTTCATTCTATGCTCCAAAATCCAAACAACTACCTGACAATGAGGAAAAAGCTAGCCGTGACAACACACATGGATAGATGGAATGGCCACCGAAACGCCCAAGCATTAGAATTTCACTTTATTAACTGGTGCTACCACAAGCCCAGAGTCGATGTAGGGCTGTGTGAAATCCACCACCTTTGTTTGATTTCTGATGATTGCAGTATCACCTGCTGCCCCATCATACTCCTGTATATGGAAATGGAAATTAGATATTCTGAAGAGGTCAAGTGTCAGTAGACTAGATGTTTTATTTCATGATACTCACACCCGCCATGATCTGACTCACAGGTTCGGTGTTACTGTGATTGTTAAGGCCATCTTCTCGTGGAACAAACTTATATGGGACTGCATATGGCAATAAGTTGAGAGCTGCTGTGAACACGTCAATACAGTAGCCTGTGATCATTTCATCACTTTTTGCAGAGATGAATTCACGAAAACTAACACAATGTGGTACTCCAATTCTCAATTGAAGGTTATCCATGGTCGTAAATAGAAGGGATTGTAGCTATATTCTTCTTCCGGTTGATATACAGTGAAGCAATGAACTTGGAAGAGGAGAAGAAAAGGAATAAGCCTATTCTAGTTGTGACAATTGTCTGTGAATTAAAATCGAAGGCAGTCACCAGGGGCAGTATGTGCCTTGTGAGGGATTTTTGGTGGTGGTCCTGACAATCCTGTGTTTTCCAGCAAAGGCCTAAGTGCACGCACAAGAGCCCTCCAATCCATCATTATCACGTTTTATCTGTTGATCTAACCCAGAAATATATTATGTTACGTATAATATAAAAGGACTTCAGAGGGCGATGGCACATTAACACTTACAAAGTGGATCAGTCAGTACCCAATAGAAGTCCAGGGAAACTACACTTGATGCGGAAGATCTGGATCAGGTACCTTTTGACTTAACCACATTTACTTGGCTAATAATGCCGGGGAAACCTCTTTAGTGGTCGTCTGCTCAAAAAACAAGCACTATACTTCGAACAAAATTTTTGCAGTAGAGAAATATTATATTTTTGTATATGTATAATAAAGTTAAGTTAGTTCAGCTCAACTTCTTCAGTGTAATGACCTGAATAGGGATCTCCATACATGACCCATTCCTTGGATCATGTTTAGCTATTGTTGACTTAGAAGATTAATTAAGGGTGGGTGAGTTCAGTCATTGTCGTATGAAGATAAATGGTGATGATAATCGTGGAGCAGAAAGTGGGATTTACTTGTTGAGTTATTAAACGGAGAAAGAGATGATGTTGATGGATCACTTTGGTTCACATTCAAAAGTGTCTCTGTGGCCTCGTGTCATTGCCACCTTTTCAATACCATGTTGTTTTATTAATATATTTTGTCTGTAATATAATAATATAATTACTTTACTTTAATTAAATAATACAAAATGATGGCAACAAATATTAGAGAGAGAGAAAAAAAAAAAAAAAAAGACGTATATGATATATTTTTATACATCCATAGAAAAAATGTGTAACGAAAAAGAACTCGTAACTCACCTGCAACATATCCCATAATTTGATTACTAAATTAATAATTTTTTAAAGTATTATATATTACATAACATACCTCATAATTTAATTCGTTATAATAATTTCTCAGTAGTTATTTAAGAAATTTAAATTAATAAAAGGAAGTTTAATTTATTATTTATATTTTATAATATTTACTAAGAAAATCAATTAGCAGTGACAGGGGAAGTTGAGAAACCAACACGTAGGGCAGGACAGGACATTCTCAACTGTAAACAACAAAGAAAAAAATCCAACGGTAAATACGAGGCACCAACACAGATCCAAGACCCAACTAAAACAAGGCCAGCCGGTGAACAAGTGTAAAAATTACCACGTGTCTCCACCCCCTCTTCTTTCAACCGCTACAATGGCGACCGGGAAACTTGGAATCGCCAGTCACCCACCATTACTCCTATTAACCAACCCTTCTCTTTCCTCTTTAACGGTTCTCCCTCTCCCTACTTCCATGCCCCCCGCCCTCTTCTCTTTTCACATTTCATTTCCGTTTTGGTGGTTCCCTCTTCCTCTTTTTCTTCCTCTTTCTTCAAATTTTCACTTGAAAAACAAACAGAGGTTAGAATGGGATGTGTTTTGTTGCCTGCAAGATCCAAGAAATGGAAGGCTCCGATCTTCCTGCTGCCGGAATAACTGGTTTCTCTTATCTGTAGTACGTTAAATTTCTCTGCCTTGGAGTGAATTACATATAATACTGGTTTAATCTTGGATCCGCTGCTTGGAAGGTCAGGGACAGCTGGTACCGTGCTGTCTGGGTTAAATATCTAAAAAAAATGAGTTGTGAGTTGTTTATTGGTTCTAGGTATTGGAGATTTGGATTGTAGTAGAAAAATGGATTAGGAGTTTAGGAGGAGTGAAGAGGGGGAGAATGGCTCCAGGCACTGAAGTTTCACCGCATTCAACACAGGTTACCAGATTGGATGGAGAGATTGATAAAGGAAGTACTGTCTCCAGCAACAATAGAGTAGTTCAAGATGAAATTGACGATACGTTGGACAAATTTGGGCAACTCACCACCGGCAAACCTCCTAGAAATCTCTCGGTTATGCGGCATTGCTCTAGCACTGCCTGGTTGGCTGAACCGGTGAGTTTCTTCTTCTGGGCAACTAATTGATTTCCTTTCTTAAACTACAAGTTAATTATGCTATGCAACTACTTCATTAAATTGAGATTTGAAACCACGAGTTTGATGAGTTATAATATTGTTTGGATTTTAATGGAACAATTCTCCAACTTCAAATGCGAAAAAGAGGAATAGAATTCTCCATTTTAGGCATAGGGGATTTTCCCTGAGCTGCAACGAGCTCTTTATAGGAAATTCACATGGTGAAATTCTGATAAGAATCTGATTTACAAGTTCAAACAAAGTGGGTTCTTTTGCTAAACAAGATCTAAACATATACTTACTACCCCATCCATGATCCACTATGACCCGTCTGCTTGCTATCTCACTTTATGCCATGGGACGATCCATGGGGCTTTTTACGAGGTGATTATGAATCACCAGTTACTTTTAGACCCGTGACATGAAATTTATCTCAGACGATTGATTTCTGTGCATTTTTTTTTTGCTTGTAGGAGTCTGATCTCGCGATCAGCCTTAAATCACCAAAGATTGAGCATTCTGGATTTCAACCTATATTTCGTTCGGGAAGTTGTTCTGAGAAAGGGCCCAAACAGTACATGGAGGATGAGTATGTCCTTGTGGATGATCTAGACAAGCATCTTGGTGAAGCTGCACAGTTATCTTCTCATGGAGCATTTTATGGGGTGTGTAAATTGATGTTAGGTTAGAGACTTTAATTATCCAGATAATATTTCTGTTATTATTGCTTGAGGTGGAGAGAACTCCTATATAATTAATTCTCCCTGGTGCACACTTGATGGTGTATAAGTCTTGAATCTACTGCACTACTAAAAAGGAACATGACACTAAGTCACTAACCATCTTCTTGTGAATCTTAGCTTCTAAATATTGTGCTCAATGAGGGATGCAATAAACTCCTATTTTTGTTCTCTTCAGGTGTTTGATGGACATGGTGGCATTGATGCAGCCTCATTTGCTCAAAAGAACATCCTCAAGTTTATTGTCGAAGACTCCCATTTTCCAGCTGGCACGAAAAAAGCAGTTAAGAATGCTTTTTTGAAGGCTGATCATGCACTTGCAGACGCTACCTCCCTTGATAAGTCGTCTGGCACTACTGCGTTGACTGCTCTTATCTTGGGAAGGTTGGAATTAGAGCTTTCACCTGTTATCTCCCTATGAATAAATTTTTACCATTCTGATGCTGAGTCTGTCCTCTTTGATGTCTTTGGTTTAAGCGGTCCACTTCTAATTTTGCAGGACCATGCTGATTGCTAATGCTGGGGATTCTCGAGCTGTATTGGGCAAGCGGGGGAGAGCAGTGGAGCTGTCTAAAGACCACAAACCCAACTGCACTTCTGAAAGACTTAGAATTGAGAAACTAGGTGGTGTCATATACGATGGATACCTGAATGGCCAATTATCGGTGGCAAGGGCTCTTGGAGACTGGCACATAAAGGGCTCTAAGGACTCAAATGGCCCTCTGAGCTGTGAGCCAGAGCTAGAAGAGATAATTCTGACAGAAGAAGACGAGTTCTTGATAATGGGGTGTGATGGCCTGTGGGATGTAATGAGCAGCCAGTGTGCGGTGACAATGGTGAGGAAGGAGCTGGTTCAGCATAATGACCCTGAGCTATGTTCAAAAGCACTTGTGAAGGAGGCTCTCCAACGCAACACATGCGATAATCTGACAGTAGTAGTGGTGTGCTTCTCGCCGGATCCACCTCCTCAGATTGAAATCCCAAGGTCCTATAAGAGGAGGAGTATATCGGCTGAAGGGCTGGATCTTCTCAAGGGTGTGTTGAACACCTTCTGAATGACTATGTTTTAGGGCTTGTACAGACCAACTTGGAGTTGTATTATTTATTGGTGGGGGATTTTTCTGAGCTCTTGTTACCCTCTCCAGCTGCGGCTTCACGTTGTTCATTTGTTTGAAAAGTTTTTAACTAAACATCCTGTACATCTGATAAAGATTAGCTTTTATCAACTTCAATTTTTTGAGTTGTTTTTTTTTTTCCAATGGTTTAAGCTTCAGTGCCAATCACTTCTTTCAACCTTAATGTCTATGTTGATGGTTTTTGGGACTTCAAATTTGAACCTGAGTATTATTCTGAAGTGACATTCTTAAAATCCAGATATCACAAATAATTTTTTTTTATGATAATTGAAATTATTATTCTATTTAAAGAAGAACGAATTCTTAATTCAAGAACTCTCTAACACATTACTTTTTGCATTATGTAAAAGATTTTAAACAAAATGTTGACTCTCTATTAGCAATTATTTTATGAAGTTTTTTCAACAGTGTGGTGGCCTTAAGCTGATTAGAAGGTGAACAAGAGATTCCCATACAAAACAGGGGGAAGTCCCTCCCAATTATTCTGACATATCCGATTTTATTATATATTTCTCTCAATTCAATATATTACTACTTCAAACTTTATCATCTTATTTCGCATAATCTTATTTAATTATTTTATGAAGGTATTAGTCATCCACGCCATTGTCTGCAGTAAGATGAAACTAGGTATTAAAAATCCGGACTTCGTATCCGCCGTTGATAAATCATCAGCAATGGCGATGGGTTTGAAGTTATGCAGCCAATACCCACAAAAAGTTAGAGCGGTAGTTACACTTTTTGTAGTATGTATTCTACTTGCAGAGCAGAGGGTTTTAATAAATGGTTTACTTTCGTTAGAAGAAGGTTAGAACCCATCAATTATCATCAATCAAGATAAGAAAAGCACCTCGTTTAACTCTATTGCAATGCCTAAATCAAAGAATGGATATCAAGCTGTTGGCTAAATTTTTCGAAGAGAGTTTGACGCTCGAATGAATTTATCTTATTTGACTAAAACCCTAGCAACCATTTTTCTTGAAATTGTATTTAGCAAAAGCATCTAAAAATCTAACTCGAGTATTTGACAAATGAAAAATAAAAGTTGTTTTGATCAAACAAGGGGAAACTTGCAACCTTCAATTCTGTATATTAAGACTTTCTCCGCAACCTTTATTTCACACCCCACATCACTCTCCATTTGCAGTTTGGCTGATCCAAAGCCTTGACTTTTTTATGCAGCAAATCTGGGAAGCCTACAAAGCAGTGGCTAATGGTTTGAAATCTCGATGCCCAGAATCCCAAAACTTCCAAAACCTTCACTTTTCTCCAAAACAAAGACATATAATCCCGAGTTGCTTGTCAGCGTGCACTCAAACTCAATCAGCTCATCCCCATCGCTTGCTGTGGTGCCCAGCCATGAGCACATTGCTAGGCTCATTTTAGACCAAAAAACAGCGTCTCAAGCCCTCCAAACCTTCAGATGGGCCTCAAAGCTTTCAGGTTTCACTCATTCTCAATCTACCTACCGCGCTTTGATCCACAAGCTCTGTGCTTTCCGTCGTTTCGACATTGTCAAGGAACTGCTTGACGAAATGCCCAGCTCAATCGGCTCGGCCCCGGATGAAAATATTTTCCTCACGGTTATCAGAGGGCTCGGGCGGGCCCGCATGATTCGGCAAGTGATCAAAGTGCTTGATTTGATATCGGGATTTGAAAAGATTCCGTCTTTGAAGGTTTACAATTCGATTCTCGATGTTCTTGTCAAGGAGGACATTGATTTAGCCAGGAAGTTTTATAGGGAAAAGATGATGATGGATGGCGTTATAGGTGATGATTATACTTACGGTATTTTAATGAAGGGCCTTTGCTTGACTAATAGGATTGGCGATGGTTTTAAACTCTTGCAGGCTATGAAGAGGCGTGAGGTGATACCAAACACCGTGATTTACAACACATTGATTCATGCTCTTTGCAAGAATGGGAAAGTTGGGAGAGCAAGGAGCTTAGTGAACGAAATGGAGGCTCCCAATGATGTTACTTTCAACATTTTGATATGTGCTTACTGTAAAGAAAACAATTTGGTTCAGGCTCTAGTGTTGGTAGATAAGAGTTTCAACATGGGTTTTGTCCCGGATATGGTTGCAGCGACTAAAGTGGTCGAAGTTCTCTGCAATGGAGGTCGTCTTACAGAGGCACTTGAAATTCTAGAAAGACTGGAAAGCAAGGGAGTTGTGGTGGATGTGGTAGCTTATAACACCTTGATAAAGGGTTATTGTAGAGTGGGGAAGGTGAAAGTTGGATACAGCTTCTTGAAAGAAATGGAGAGAAAGGGCTGTTTGCCAAATGCGGACACATTCAATATATTGATCTCTGGGTTTTGTGAATGTGGAATGTTGGATTCCGCATTAGATATATTCGATGATATGAAAACGGAAGGGATTAGTTGGAATTTCACTACATTTGACACACTAATCAGAGGTTTGTTTTCTGGGGGAAGAATAGAAGATGGGTTTAAGATATTAGAACTTATGGAGGATACAAAAGGCGGTTCTCAGGGTCGTATTAGTCCTTATAACAGTGTATTATATGGTTTGTATAAGGAAAATCATTTGCAGGAAGCAATGGAGTTTTTAGCCAATATGAGGAAACTATTTCCTAGAGCTGTTGACAGGAGCTTGAAGTTATTCAGTTTCTGCAAGGAAGGCAGAATTGCGGATGCAGAGAGAGCGTATGAACAGATGACTGGAGAAGGAGGAATCCCAAATGCCCTTGTCTATGATTGCTTGATCCGTGGATATTGCCGGGCAATGTGTATGCAGAAAGTGTTTGAGTTAATGAATGACATGATTGGTCTTGGTTATTTTCCTGTTGGATCAACTTTTAATGCTGTAATTAGTGAGTTTTGCAATCAAGGAAAAGTTGGGAGTGCTTTGAAGCTCATGGAGGACATGGGTATGAGGGGTTGCAAGCCTGATACAGGAAGTTACAATCCACTTATTGATTGTCTTTGTAGGGAAGGACATTTTCAAAGGGCTTTACATCTGTTTCAACAGATGATAGGAAAGGGTCTGGTACCTGATTATTTGACATGGAATTCTCTTATGCTTTGTCTCGGTCAAGAAAGAAACTGGGTAGAGAGTAAGAATGTTCTCTTCTGAGGTAAAATTTCTCGAGCTGTCCGTATTTGCAGAACTACAGACACAGACAACTTTTTTTTTTTAATTTTGTTTCTGAATTCTGAGTAAATTTAATTTTACTAAACGTGCCCTAAAAATTAGTAGTTGCCCATTTATTTTCCTTTAACAGAAACGTGATTGCAGACATGATAATCGGATGCAAGTGGACTGAGTCAAATCCTAGCCTGATTGTAACTTAATGAATAATGAGTGTGCCAACATTCTTGCTTGACAGACTTGGTTGGAAATCAAGCGAACCAACATCTGGTAGGCCGGCTTGCTTATATTAAATACTCAATAGCTAACCCCGCTTTTCACTTTCGTCAAAAAGATACGCAAGAGATTTGGCTGTTCATAAAACCAGAAGCCAATTTGTAATGTGCAACCAGATGCCGTCACTGTCACTCCTCTTGTCTGCTACCTAATGACCTATCAGGCTTTCAGTTTATCATCATCGTCATCTCTTCGTTCATGTCAGAAAAAATTTATTAATTACTTCTTCTTTCTCTTCCGCTAAAAATATCTGAGGAGCCAGATTGAAGCTATAAACTTGCATCTTCAGCTTTCATTTCTTCCATTCCAACTGCTCTGCAATTATCAATTCCATATTTTCCTTGAATTTTTTTCTTCTGGGTACCACAAAAGTTCTGTGCTTTTGCTTGAAAACAGATCAAGAAATCAAGATATGGGGTTTGCTGAAGAAGCCGGGTCTTCCTCACATGTACTTCCACCATTTCCAAGAGAAGATACCCCACTTTTAGGGAATCCCCGCCCACTCTCCTCCCAATTCAAGACCTTTGCCAACGTATTTATAGCTATTGTTGGTGCCGGCGTCCTTGGCCTCCCTTACACCTTTAAGAAAACAGGTTGGGTCATGGGTTCGCTCATGCTCTTCTCCGTAGCTATTGTCACCTACTACTGTATGATGCTTCTTATCCTCACTCGTCGCAAGCTTGATTCCCTTCATGGCTTCTCCAAGATCGCATCCTTCGGCGACCTCGGTTTTGCTGTTTGTGGACCCGTCGGTCGCTTTTCAGTCGACGCGATGATAGTCCTCGCACAAGCTGGCTTCTGCGTCAGTTACCTTATCTTCGTCTCCAACACTTTGGCCAATATTTTCAATCGTGCCAGTGATCGGATTCTGGGTTTAAGTCCCGCATGTTTTTATCTCTGGGGCTCTTTTCCTTTTCAGTTGGGTCTCAACTCGATCCCAACACTGACCTATTTAGCTCCTCTGAGTATTTTCGCCGATGTGGTTGATATCGGCGCCATGGGAGTGGTTATGGTGGAGGATGTCCTGATGTTCTTGAAGCAAAACCATGCACTTAAAGCTTTTGGGGAGTTTTCAGTCTTCTTTTACGGATTAGGTGTTGCAGTTTATGCATTTGAAGGTGTTGGTATGATATTACCATTAGAATCAGAATGTAAAAACAAAGACAAGTTTGGGAAAGTCCTGGGATTGGGCATGGCTGTGATTTCTCTCATGTATGCAGGATTTGGAGCTCTGGGTTACTTTGCTTTTGGAGAAGAAACAAAAGACATAATCACCACCAATCTTGGGCCAGGACTAGTAAGCACGCTGGTGCAGCTTGGACTCGGTGTGAACTTATTCCTGTCCTTTCCACTGATGATGAACCCGGTGTATGAGGTAGTCGAAAGGCGGTTCTGCGAGGCAAGATACAGCTTGTGGATAAGATGGGTAGTGGTGTTAGTGGTGAGCTTAGTGGCTTTGCTGGTGCCTAATTTTGCAGATTTCTTGTCCCTGGTGGGAAGCAGCGTGTGCTGTGTTCTGGGTTTTGTGCTGCCTGCTTTGTTTCATTTGATGGTGTTCAGACTAGAGTTGGGTTGGAATGGACGGCTGCTGGATGCCACCATTATAATTCTTGGTGTGGTTATAGCTGTTTCAGGAACCTGGTCTTCCTTGTTGGAGATTTTCGCACCCAAGGCTGACCATTAACCACTGTTTTCTACACGTCTTAGAAGTTAAAGGTTCCTACTTTTATGTTTAGCCATTGTTTTTGAAGTAGTAACTAGCAATTGTCTAGGAAATGGGATAGAAAAATTGCTGTTCATTCGCAAATCTCTCTTTCCTTGTTGAGAGTTCAGAACATTTACTAGTAGATCAGATTTCTTTTTCCACCAATTAAATATCTTCGTTGTCTTTTTCATGGTCACTAATGTTGCTCCGACAGAATAGGAGCTCATGATGAAATAAAATTCAAATAAGGGACGGAAGCTGCGAGTGCCGTGACCAAAACTAGAAGCTTGATTTTGAAAGCCATGAAGTTCAATTGGTATTCTTCGTGTCTCTACGTGGGTGCGTAACCCCAGTTCGATAAAAGTTTTTCTTCTTTTTTTGTTCGATAAAAGTTAGCTAATGATAACAAAACAAATGATAATTCTAGAATCCAACGTTTAACAAAATAATTGGCAGCCATGGCTGCATATTCAAACACATAAAGACTTCTGCATATGTTGATCAATGTCATTTTATTCTTGTAAACTTCAAAATTAATATTAAAAAAATGAAAATAGAAATCATATATATCTTTACTCTTGACTATCCACACGAGGAAAATTGCAATGAGGGTGAAAAAATGACAAGTCCATGGAAAGAAGACTTGAAATATTACATGAGGCCTAGCTACAAGCAAAACCACTCATTGTCACATACAACACAAACTATATACTAATTAAAGAATAAGACCACCACGCATACAATGAACAAACCTCATCTATAAATGAGCCTTCAAACTGTAAAGAAAACCCCGCACTTCGATTATAACATACCTAGTCTCCTAGAAAGCACTCCAATTATCAGAACTTCTCCTCCGAGTTTGACTGTCTGAAGATGTCTTAAAAGGGCCACTCGAGCCGAAAGGGTCTGTCTCATCAAATGATGAGAATCCGTGACTATATTCAGAGTCTCCAGTGCTGCGCATGGAATCAAATCTTGATAGGGAATTCCGTGGGGATTGAGAAAATCCACTTTCGTGCACGCTTAAGGAATCAAACCTTTGTGCATTAAACGAATCAAATCTCGACGGGAACAGATCAGAATCACTGGTGCTGCGCATTGAATCAAACCTAGCTAGAGAATGGCGTGGAGACTGAGAGAATCCGCTCTCATGCATGTTAAATGAATCAAACTGAGAGAAGCTGTCAAATGAGTGATCCTCCGAGAACCTGTGAGGGGAGCTTCCAAAATTGTAGGCAGGGGTACTTGGAACAGAATCTGCAAACAAAGATGGGCCTCCAGGGAATATGTTATCGGTACGAGGAGTCTCTGTCATTGGCCTTATACCAAACTCTGACCCTTCACTAAAACTCTGTGGGGAATTTCCAAAGTTATAGGCTGGGGTGCTTGGGACAGAATCAGCAAACACAGATTGGCTCATTCCAGGGAACATGCCATCCATGTTTGTGGCGCCCGTCTTTATTGGCTTTATATTAAAGTCACTAAGACCAAATCCAGAAAGATCATCATTTATCCGGTGATCACCGTCCTGCAAGCAAGACATTGTTAGAACAATTAATCAGGAAGATGTAACTTTCACTGCATTTATTACAAATCTTTTGGGAAGAAAAATCAGTTGAAACTTCATACAGTCATAATAAATATGCTTCATTTGGAAACAAAAGGACTAGCAAATTCTTGTGTCAGAAACAAGGCTTTTGACTCCCAAGAAAAAGTTCAAACAAAGAAGTTTTGAGACATGGACACTCAGAAAGCATTGTCTGTATTTGTCCACATACCTTGCCACTATCAGAGTCAAAGCCCCACACAGAATCTGTATCATAATGAGTGTCAAATGTACCCCAGCTAGGTTCATCAAAAATTTTGTCTGCAGAAACTGTAGATTCAGCACCACCGTGATCACTGCAGAAGCAAAACATCAAATTCAGCCACAAAAAGCATAAAGTACAGAGGAAAAAGAAATAATGCCCAGCTACTAATGCTCACAGAATTGCTTGGACGTAAAGCATCAAGTACAGAGGAAAAAGAAATAATTGCCTGCTACTAATGATCGTGTGTGTGTGTGTGTGTGTAAACTTAATCACAGACCTCCTGTTGTCTTCAGCATGGCGGGAACCATCAGCATCATTACTTTTTACGTGACTGGAATCTTGGAATTCTGGAGGTTGGTTCTCAGCTGCACCTCCCCCAGCTGGACTGACAGGAGGACTTCTTTTCAAGGCATCCCCTTGTTCAGATGTCAATTCCTTTTCAGAGGAGTGTTCATCTGCAGTTGCAACCTTCTCTGATTTAGCATCGATATCCAGACATGAAGCATTAGAAACCTCATTTGTTGATGATGGTCCATTCTCAATCGGCAAAGATTTTTGTTTAGGAGGGGCTACGACATTCTGTACATCCAGAGTGAGCTCTTTGACAAATGTGAACCCTGAAAAGGAATAAAAAGAACAATTCACCTAAATAATCCATTTGAACATCAGACTGATATTCTCCAAACAAAGAGTAAGAGTCATTTATGCTGGATATTCTTGAGCCCCCTTATGGAAAAGAGTATCACCTAAAAACTAGTGGATTGAAAGCTCTTGTAATACAACAAATAACCAATTAAATACCTTCATCATCAAACTTATCCCAATCTTCGTCCCAATCAGCTGCTCCTTCTTGGATGCCAGGTTGCCAGCCTTTAAGAAAGATCAAAAAACAAGATGCAAATATTGTGAGACCATTTAAGCTATCTTCTAGACAGATAGTGACAGAGAACTCGTTTGTCAGTAATAAAAGTGCAAAAGGAAATGTAACTTTCATCCAATTAAGTGATACAAACACAACTTTATGTTTCCGTACACATGCATGAGGGACTGCTCATAATTTTTGCATAAGCTCAAACAGAAAATAATGCTATAGCCAAAAATCGAAGAATAGAAAATTTCCCACAACTAAAAAGCCCCTAAACTCTGTCATCATTATCATCAAAAGAACGAATTAGTATTTGGGAGGAAAAAAAGAGCCGGAAGAGTAAAGCAATCAAAATATATGAATATTAAACTTAAAAAATAATCTCAATTTTGTATGTTATATTATTATGAAATTTACAGAAAAGGAATTAAACTATATTTATATCAGATATATCATTTTTTCATGGTGACATAAACCACCAAAATTTCAAGTAACCTTGGCAGGAAGTCTAAAATAAATTTTCTGAATGAGAGGGAAAAATAACTGGAAAAAAAATAATAGATGGAAGATAAATGGGCCAAATTCCACATAACAAACAAGAAAAACAATATTAAATGGTACAAGGTCTGAGACATACCATAGGGAAGCTCAACCAGTGTCGTTGGTTTGCCACGCAATCCGTACTGTTTGCAGCGTTCATTAAGAGTTTTAATTAGTTCCTCCAGGGCAGATTCAATGCCCTCAGCACGCTCCTGCAAAACCCAACAGGAAAAAAAAAGAAAAACCTTGGAAACATGGTCTCCATGCTATCCACCAAATTAATCTCAATACTACGTACCTTAAGAACACCATTT